ATTGGGATTAGCGTTTGGAGAGTCGTGTTTTTGGGGTGTTGGATGTGGCCGTGCCATTGGGATTTGCGTTTCAGGGTGTGGCATCGAAGCTCGGTTTTCGTGACAAGTCTCAGCTGAAATGGCGATTTTGGTGGATGGGAGTGTGCTCAGAAGGTCGAAATCATTCCAAACATGTGATGTGGTGCAAATTTTGTTGAAGCTCACATGAGATGATATTGTGCGGGTTTTGAGGCGTGGAAGTGCGATTCTCGTGGCAGGCGCAGGGAATCGTGAGGTTGCGAGGTGTGACGGAGGTGACATTTCGTGGCAGGCGCAGTACTTTGTGCGCGTTAGACGTGTGGACGCGGAAAGATTCGTGGCAGGCGCAGGGAATCGTGAGGTTGTGAGTTGTGGTAGAGGCGAATGTCGCTGTCACATTGGGATTGGCGTATGAGCGGACGTTGTTTGGAGGGGCTGGAATCGCGAAACTGCTTGGCAGGGCTGCGTGATGTGTGTGTGTGTGTGCTCCGATGGGTGTTTCCGCTTGACTTTTGGAGGAAGTCTCGTACGAAACGCTCGCTTTGCAGACTTTGACGTGTGAGTTTTTGAGGACGTCTCGTACGAAACGCTCGTTTTGGAGACTTGACGCGCAACCCTCTGCGGAGATCGTGCGCGTCGAGTGTGCGAAATGCAGGCCAGAGTGCGATTTGTCCCATGCGCGCGCAACCCTCTGCGGAGATCGTGCGTGTCGAGCGCGCGAAATGCAGGAGAGAGTGCGATTTGTCCGGTGCCCGCGCAACCCTCTGCGGAGATCGTGCGCGTCGAGCGCGCGAAATGCAGGCGAGCACTGGCGACTTTGTAGTACAACTTTAGTCCGCGGAGCAATCTGTGGAGCTGGAAGCTGAGAACTGGCGACCTTGTAGTACAAGCTGGAAGAGTGTCCCACAAGAGTGTCCCGCGACAGTGTCCCACTAGAGTGTCTCACAAGAGTGTCCCTTAAGAGTGTCCTACAAGACTGTCCCACAAGAGTGTCCTACAAGAGTGTCCCGCAAGAGTGTCCCACAAGAGTGTCCTACAAGACTGTCCCACAAGAGTGTCCTACAAGAGTGTCCCACAAGAGTGTCCTACAAGAGTGTCCCACAGAGTGTCCCACAAGAGTGTCCTGCAAGAGTGTCCCACAAGAGTGTCCTACAAGAGTGTCCCATAAGAGTGTCCTACAAGAGTGTCCCACAAGAGTTTCCTACAAGAGTGACCCACAAGAGTGTCCTACAAGAGTGTCCTACAAGAGTGTCCCAGAAGAGTGTCCCACAAGAGTTTCCTACAAGAGTGACCCGCAAGAGTGTCCTACAAGAGTGTCCTACAAGAGTGACCCACAAGAGTGTCCCTTAAGAGTGTCCGACAAGAGTATCCCACAAGCGTGTCCTACAAGAGTGTCCCACAAGAGTGTCCCACCAGAGTGTCCTACAAGAGTGTCCCACAAGAGTTTCCTACAAGAGTGTCCCACAAGAGTGTCCTACCAGAGTGTCGTGTAAGAGTGTCCCACAAGAGTGTCCTGCAGGTGACCCACAAGAGTGTCCCACAAGAGTGTCCCACAAGAGTGTCCTATAAGAGTGTCCCGCAACAGTGTCGCTCAAGAGTGTCGCTTAAGAGTGTCCCACAAGAGTATCCCACAAGAGTGTCCTACAAGAGTGTCCCACAAGAGTGTCCCACTAGAGTGTCTCACAAGAGTGTCCCACAAGAGTGTCCCAGAAGAGTGTCCCACAAGAGTGTCCTACTAGAGTGTCCCACAAGAGTGTCCTACAAGAGTGTCCCACAAGAGTGTCCTACAAGAGTGACCCACAAGAGTGTCCTACAAGAGTGTCCTACAAGAGTGTCCCAGAAGAGTGTCCTACAAGAGTGTCCCAGAAGAGTGTCCCACAAGAGTGTCCTACAAGAGTGTCATTTGGACATATGTAGTTTTTCGAACGTGCTTCCATTCGGGTTCGTGGGTTCCATCTTGTTCTTTTTTTGGGGGGGGCGTTTTCTTTTGCAGTTGATGATGTTGTTTGCCAAGGCGTCCTTGAAATAGGGTCCTATTGTGGATATTCGGCAGTGGTCTCAGAATGTTGCTGGGGTTTTGGCATGCCGCGCATTACCTGTCAGGATGCCGCAGGATGCCTCAATAGCTAAGTGATGCTAACGGCATTTGGAGGTTTGTTCATACTTTGTTGCAGCAATGTAGCCTGGAATGCAACTCATGATTCACCGGTTAGAGAAGTCTGATCATCTTGTGTATAGTGTATATTATATAAACATTATATAAATGTCATTTCTCTATTGACTATCTCTTCAACCTGTTGGCTCCAAGTCTCACTTGTGTTCCACATCATTGCGCTCCAAACAATTAGGTGATTGGATGAATTGGAAGATTATTTGCCAATTTCTATACGACCTTCTTCGATACGAGCTACAACCCCTAAGTATCCCTAAGTGATCCACGCTACATCATACTACATCCACCGTGTCCACTCAGTCCACTCGCATGGCCTTGGCTCTACCTGGCGTCAGGGGCGCCTAGTTGTAGATTGATCTACAGCTCTTGTACAGCTCGACAAACAAATGAGATGCAAGGAGATTTGCTGATTCAAGCTCTTTCATGACCCCCGGTAGTTTAGTCGGCTCTTGACCTTGGAAGTGCAAGTTCAAGGGGCCAATCAAGTTTTATTTTCCCATTTTCTTACATGCTTTTAAGCTGTCAGATGTGTCTCTCGTCTGATCTGCTGAGGTTCATATTGCATCCTTAGAGGTTGATCCAGCCAGGGTTGCACAGGGGAACTCGCCGATTGAATGTGCGGGATGCACTTTTGCAGTTCTCTTGCTTTCACATTGGCAGATCATGTGAGTGGGAGAGTGTCGTGGGTGAAACAAAACAGATCCTATGTACTGGGCTAGCTTCGGTTGCAGTCCTTTGTGGCGCTTGTGTTGAGTCAAACCAGTCTAGCTTGGACCGAGGTGCATATGGTCATTGCTCGGAACGTGGTGTTGCATGGCGGTCTGGCCGGCACCATCGACGCCCGGCCAGCCTAGAAGCAAAGGATCTGGTGGTGAAGCATGGTGTTCGGTAGACACTGGTGGGACCTGATGAACTTCCATTGATTTGAATGCCAGAAAGAAGGTCAGAAATAGAGTGCCAGAATATATGGAAGAACTAAGAATGTTTGCCACAGATAGAATGCCAGAATATATGCTCAGATAGAATATCAGAAAATATGCCAGATTTTAGACAAGATAGAATGCCAGAATATGCCATATAGAATGCAAGCAAAATTGCAACGATAATGCCGGCATTTATGCCAGATAGAATGCGACAATATATGCCACATAAAATTTCATAGAACGTTAGTATACCAGATAGAATGCCCTATTATATGCCAGATAGGATGCCAGATTGTATGCTTGATAGAATGTAACGAAGAATGCCATAAAAAATGCTACCCGTACATAACTTTCTTGGTGGTGATGTTGGAATGTTGAAGCAATATAGCCGTCGGTTATCAGCAGAGTATAATGCCATGGTGGGGATCACCGGAAGTAATCGACTTTAGCAAGCAACTTTTTGCGTTGGTTTGAGAGATGCTTTGCCTCATGCTACGACGACATGTTGAGTGACTGCATGCCACTTTGAACTTGTGACTTGCACACTAAAGCAACGGCACTACCAACGCAGGCAATTGCAGGATCAATATACAGTTTGTTCATTGTTCATGTCTATTTCATGCTCTAATTTCACAAGTCTGAAGGTCTACAAAGGTTTAGTGGATCCCATGAACGGGATTTGTCCAAGGTTTGGACGGGCCACAGCAAGGCCGCTGGGGCGGGCCGGTGGTAAATGTTCGGAGGCCCCCCAAAAAGGTCGGTCGCCGAGCATTGGTCCTGGTTTTGATGGACAAAACATATGAACGTGCCAGATAAAGTGCACCACAGTCTTTGATTTTTTTGCCTGTTCACTGTTCACATTGAAACACCAATTGTATCCAATCGTGTTGATTCCTGTTGCCAGTACAGTAATCTCCTCGTTATATATTTCCTTGGCCTCTTTATTTCCAAAACTTGCATTAGGGAAGTGGTTTTCATTGAATACGGGTGTCTGGCGCGGTTTGGTGGCTCATGCAACACAGCCGAGCCTCTACAAAACCAGTCCACCGTGTGAGGGCAGCCATTGTGTTCGAGATTCCATCCCGTTATCCCATCTAGCATTGACAATGTTGCAGTCTTACGAGACCGGATGTGTGCAAACGTTTGGCAGTTCCACAATGCAAATGCAGAGTACGCAAGCTTTTGGAGTTGGAATCAAAGCGTCGTCAAGTTGAGGGCAACTTCAAGTCCGGGCGTGACTGGTGACTAATCCAAAGACAGCGCGTCACAAGAATTGCCAACACGACATAGCACACATGACCCATGCGCTGCTCTTCTATGCCCTTCTGAGAGATTCTGAGGGAGTTTTCAGTTTTCGGATGAATCTTGAAGGGAATACGTAGGTCAGGTGTTTGCTTGTGGCTGCAGTAGGTCGAAGATTCTGCCGGAAGTGCATCCCACAATGTCAGGATCTTCTTCCGCGGATCTTGAAGCGCTACAATGGGTTTGGCCCTTGGCAAACAGACAGCTGTTGAAGTGGCACAGCAAGGTCAAATACTGAAGATCTACAAATGGACGCTCCACTCTCAAGTTCACATGGCGCTTCTGCCAAAGGGGTTTCCATCGATGGCACACTGCTGAAAGCATGGATCAAATTAAAAGCTCAGCTCCACTGTGTTGTGCGCATGTCCGGGGAGCACTGGTCGAGCTTCTGTCTTGTTGAGCTTTGAATCTAGCAGTCTGTCATCGATGGAAAACGCACTTTGGCATGGAAGAGAAGAGGCTGAGTTTCATATTACATATATTGTTAAATAAATATATATGCCAGCTTCCGTAGGTGAGAGGAATTGCACGTCGCCTTACTTTGGCCACGGGCTCAAAAAGGGGGCTTCGCGCGGCGGACGCGCATGGCCTCCTGCGCGCGGTGTCGCCGCTCGGCCCCGGCTGGCGGCGACACTTGGTGTCTGGCGTGCAGCGCCTGGGAAGCACTGGGCAACGAACTTTCGTTCGCCTGGTCGCATCCCGGCTTGCGCGCCGTAGCGACTGACTTGGTGGTCTCCGCGGTTCGGCAAGTGCGGGCCCTGCGGGTGACTCGGGGGGACTCCTCGACACCCCGGGCTGCACCGCCGGCCGCGGTCCCTCCGGTCCCTGGCCCGCGGGTGGCCGAGCGGACTGGCAGCGTTCCGGCTGGGGGCAACTCCGGGCCGGAGCGCGAACGGTCGCCCCTGCCCCGCTCCTCGGGCAGAGGGCGCGACACAGGCGGCGGACCTCCCGCCCCTGCAGTCGAAGAGTCCTCGGAGGCGGAGGACGAGGAGGAGGAGTCTGAGGCGGAGTCCGAGAAGACCCTCCTTTTGGCCCCTAACACCCGGGGTGAAAGCAACCAAGGGTTGGCTTCGAAGTCGGCCCCTTCTGTTCCGCCCGAGCAGGTCGCTGGTGTTAAGACTGAGGTGACGGAGGAGAGAGCTGACCGTGCGGCTGGCGGTAGTGCCGAGCCGATTGCCCGCCGACATCGACGTCGCCATCATCACGAAGGAGATCGTGAAAAGAAGAGCTCGAAGAGAGACGGAGAGGGACGCAAGTCACGCAAGAAGAGGAACCCGAAACATCGGGCAGGCAGGAAGCACAAAAGGCTTTACAGGGCAGAGCAAGACCCTTACGTCAAGCTACATCGCACCTTGGACGATTCGCATTACAGGTTCGATCCAAACGCTTCCCGGGAGTCGGCAATTGCCGGCACCCCTCCTAGGCCGAAACAATGACGGAGTTGGAAACAATAGAGGCGGCGGTCGTCGAGGGCTATGGGCAGTATGGAACCTTCGACGTGGAGGATGCTGTTCGTTGGGGAACTTTGACTCCGGTAGTAGGAGATGTGCTGGAGACAGGGATTCCCCAGGAGATCGTGGGCGAAGAAGGCGTGGTCGGAATTTTTCTGGTCACAGGTTTCGAGCTTGGCGCCGATGGAGGAATGCTGGTAAGGGTAAAATCCGTTGGCGCCTCATCCCCGGCAGTGCTCGGCATTTTGTCGTCGCTGTTCAACAGGAAAGAAGGCAAGTTGCACCTTTGCCCAGGAGCTGGCAGCTGCTACGAAGAAGGCGGGGTTTTCCATGTTCGCAGGGTGGAGGTTTGGAAAGGCTCCGAATTTCCATCCCAGCGGCTCTCGCCTGGCGGCAAGCGGCTTGTGAAGCAGATGGAGCGTGGAGAAGAGTTGGACCTCGAGCAAGAGGAAGAGGTCGCGCCTGCTGGAAGACCTCCCGCTTTGAAGGGGAGGCGCTCCGTGCAGGGCGCTGGAGAAGAAGCCAGAGGAAAAGGTGTCGGAGAGAAAGTTCGAGGACGTGGACTCGTGCGAAAGACGAACAGGCCTGCAGCTCGACTCCCTGGCGATTCCGGGCCGGCGGCTTTGAGGGCCCGGCAAGCAACAGGCCAAGGGGGTTGGTGCTCCTGGGCTACCAGATGGGGAAGAACAGGAGTCAGAGGACGGTGGAAGTGCATTCCCTGCTCTGGCAGGGTTGACGACTTCGACGAAATTGAAGCCGGGGGCCAAGGCTGCTGGTCCGCACCGTGCAGCCCTGACCTATGGAGCGAAGGAACAGGAGGAGCAAAGAGGAGATACTACGATGGGCTTGAAACTACAACGCAAGGAGAAGGGAGTTGCTACCACCCTGGCACTTCAGGCAGCCAGGGTATCAGGGGGGGAGCTGGAAAGAAAAAGAAGAAGGACAAAAAGACCAAGGCCGTCAAGGCTCTGAGGGAAATCCTGGGGGGTCAAGAGAAAGAGGAAGGAAGGAGGCGAAGAAGACCCGGATGGCTCAGGAGATTCTTCAGACGAGGATGGCTCCTCTTCAAGTCAAGCAGCTCAGACAAAGAAGATTTGCTCCCCCCCCTCAAGAAGAGAAGCGAGAAACAGGAGGGCTCAGTGCTCGCTCTCCTGGTGGAGCAGGTGGAGGCCCGCCTCAACGAATTGAGTGGTGCCGGAGAACATCCAAATGCAGTCCTGAGCGGAACAAAGCTGGTGACCTACTGGCATCACCTCATCCAGTCGGGAACGACATCGCAACAAGGCCGGGACGGTCGCGAGTTATTCTTATTAGCAAACGCCCTCGACCTGCTTCGCATTGGCCGCCTTGGCAAGGTAGGAGACGCACTCGCGGCCCGCTTCCTTGCCATCGAGCAAGCGTGCCTGGACCAGCAATGGTCGGCTGCTCGGCATCTCGAGCTGTTTTCCCCGGACCACACCTCAGCGGCAGGACCAGCCATTACCTTGGCGGCGAGGAAATTCAACAAGATGATGGAGAAGGTAAGCAAGCCCGAGGAAGGCCGAGGGAAAAGCAGGAAGGAGAAAGGCGGAAAAGGGGATTCGGGCTGGCAGAATTCCGAGCCCTGGTGGAACCGCCGAAAAGGAGGAGGAAAAGGGAAGAGCAAGGAGAAGGAGAAGGACGAGCACTGGAGCGGCCGCGGAGGATGGAAGAAGAATCCGTGGCAAAAGGATTGGAACAAAGACAAGAACAAGGGCAAAGTGGAGAAGGAGGCCGAAGCCGAGAAGTAGTACAGAAGGAGACCGGACCGCCTGGTCTGAAATGGTGGCAAAGCCTGGTGGAACTGGCTGGAGACCTCTCCGAGCTGGGCACGGGGCTCTATTTTTCCCTTTTTGAGAGAGGGGAGGCAATGGATGATGACCTCCTGTCACAGCTTTCCGCCGAGATGGCGCTAAAAAAAGAGAGCCAGCATCCGCGAGTGAAACACTCTAAGAATCAGTTGTTTCCTCTCCCTCGTTTTTGGACTGTTGATTTTGCATGTTTTAGGCCCCAGGCCCAAGTAAGTGAGGTCTTGGCAGATAAGACTTTTGTTAAGGCGTGTGCGGTTGAGTGCTGGTGCTGTCTGTGCACTTTGTTCTGTAATAACCTTGCCAATGAAGGTTTCTTGTTTGGGGCGACGGAAGCCTCGGCCCCGCAACGTGACCTCCTTTTTGCTATTAGACAGTCGGTTGAGCGTGTGCTGGGTGATGACGAGCGGGCTGTCTGGGGGCTGAAGGAGGTTTTGCAGGACTTTGAGCGCAAGTCAATAGGCTATTCAGGTGAAGAGATCTGCAAGGCAGAACCTTTGTCGTTGGAGCGAATGCTACCAGGTCTGCCACCGGAAGGTCATGGAGGTTCTATCAACACGATTGACTGGGTCAGTGGTCACACCCGATACCTTCTCCTAAACCCGGACAAGTGTGTTGCTATGGACGTAGGGCAGACACTGCCTAAGCTACAAGGGAAGGTTCATATTAAGGAAGGGGAGCGTTTGCCGATTGCTCGTGAGCTTGTGCGGCGAGGCATTTGCCGTTGGATTCCTGAGTCCAAGGTGGCCACTTTTAGGGGGCAAAAAGTGCTGAGTGGCTTGTTTGGAGTCGCTAAACCAAAGAAGCTGCCCTCAGGTGAATGTGTCTTGCGACTCATTATGAATCTGGTGCCCGCCAATGCAGTGCTCCGAACAATTGCCGGCAAGGTGGAGAAGTTGCCCAGCATCACCCAGTGGCTTAACGTTGTCATTGAAGAAGGTGAGACACTGAGGATTGCCCAATCGGACATGGCTTGTGCTTTTTACCTCTTTAGCCTGCCTGAAGCATGGAGCTCATTGTTGTCCTTTAACCTTCATTTCCCCAGCAGTGTGATTGGTGACCCTTCGCTGTTGAGTGAGAAAGAGGAGCTCTTTCTAGCGTGCCGAGTGCTCCCGATGGGGTGGAGCAGTGCGGTAGGTGTGATGCAGGCTATTGCTGAATCAGTGTTGATAGAGGGTGGCTTCAATCCCCTGGCTCAAATTACAAAGACCTCCCCTTTGCCCCCGTGGGTACTGCAAAGCGCAGCCGCCGGAAGTCACCAGGGCAAACCCTGGTGGCATGTGTACCTTGACAACTTCGCAGCGGGTTCAAAGGTACAGGATGACAATCCGGAGGAGCTGATATTGTTGCAGCAACAGGCGGAAGGTCTCTGGAAAGACGCTGGGATCGTGGTGTCTGAAGGTAAGTCGGTGGTGGCCGCCACTTCAGGTGTCGAACTGGGTGCGTTCCTAGGTGGAAAAGGACAGTGGATCGGAGCTTCCCCAGAACGTTTGGTCAAAGTCATGAAGAGCACGTTGTGGCTTTGTGGTCAAAAGACCCCCAGCAGGAAGAAACTACAAATTGTGATGGGCCGTATCTGCTTTATTATGCAATTCAGGCGCCCTGCAATGTCTCATTTTGAGCTTGTTTGGGATTGGATCTCTAAGGAGAGGGATGACTCTCCTCCGGCCCGAAAAGTGCGCCGTGAACTACTAGTAGGGTTGTGCGGTTTTCCTTTGTTTCATACTTGGCTGGGCTGTCGGATCGACCATGAGACAACTTGTAGTGATGCTAGCATGAGCGGGGGAGCAGTGGCGGTGGCCCGTACATTGAGCAAAGAAGGAGCGGGGTTTGTATGGTCTCAACTTCCTGATTGTCAAGCTCTGCAGATCCCGGTGGTGGTCGTGAGCCTTTTCAACGGGATTGGTGGCGCCTTCCGCTGCTATGACATTGCTGGGGTGAGAGTGTTAGGAGCAATTGCATGCGACATCCACAAACCCGCTAACCGGGTCACTGCCAGGAGATGGCCACATGTAGTGTTCTGCGAAGATATCAGGGAACTTCACTCAGAGTTTCTTCAAGAACACCTTGACTCGTTCGGCGACTTCAAAGAGATCCACCTGTGGGCTGGGTTTCCCTGTGTTGACGTCAGCAGTGTAAGGGCCAACCGGCTAAATCTCCGGGGGCAGTCTAGCAGCCTTATTCATGAGGCCCTACGGGTTCTTGGTGAACTCAGAGAAATGTTCCCCGGCGTTCGCGTCGATTTCTTTGTGGAAAATGTGGCAAGCATGGACGTGGAGGTGCGTGATGAAGTGAGTGATTTGCTAGGTTGTGAACCTTATCGGGTTGACCCGCACCAGCAAGTCCCAAACTCGCGCCCGCGGTTTTGTTGGACTTCGCTTGCACTTCCGGATAATGACGAGTTACAGATTTGGTCTAGACAAGGGTATCAAGAAGTTATGGTCAATGGACAGTGGCCATCACCGCATCAGTGGCTCACGCCTGAATGGTACCAAAGCGACAGCAAGGTTATTTATTCCACCTTTATGAAAGCAATTGTAAGAAAACAGCCCCCTCCAGTACCGGCTGGCCTTCATCGCGCTGATACTGCGTGCAGGGCACGGTGGCAGAGTCATGCGTTCAGGTATCCCCCCTATCAGTATCGCAGTGAGTTTTTGGTTTTTCACCCCAATGAGGACCATGGACGGTTACTAAACGCTGATGAACGTGAGTTGCTTATGGGGTACGGCCGTGGACACACTCTCATGTGTATGTCAGCATCGATGGCAAAGACTGACTTGCAAGCTTATGAGGACGAGCGTTGCAGTTTGATAGGAGACAGCTTCTCTATATGGTCTTTCTGCCTTTTTGCTGCGGCGGCTGTTGAAAAGTACACTCATAGTTTTTCTCCCCGTGTTTTGTTCTCTCGTATGGGCTTGCCCCCGGGTGCCTCCCTACGCCTTCCCTTCAGTTGCCCTTTGCAATGGGGCGTTTGTTTTCCTGAAGCTGGGGCCCGCGCCTCAGTAGCGGACCTTAACCGTGTTTTGGGAAGCAAGGCCAGGCACACAGGGAGTGACATCCGTGTTGCTACTGGTCAGATTCTTAATGCCCGGACGTTTCCCCGTCAAAGTGTTGAAAGTGTTTGGTGGCAGTGGGAGCAGGTTTTCAAAGTTCATTGGCAACAAACCGAGCACATCAACGCGCTTGAAATCAGAGCTGTTTGGCTGTCCATCTTGTGGAAAGCTATGAAAAGGAACTTGACAAACAGGCGAATCTTCCACCTCAGTGACAGCTACGTGGCCCTGTCAATATTGAGCAAAGGAAGAACAGGTAGTCACAAGCTCCAATTTATTTGCCGAAAAATAGCAGCGCTCCTCCTCGCGGCGCAATGTCAATTGCACCTTGGTCACGTGGATAGTTTTGATAACCCCACTGATGAAGCGAGTCGATCCTGAACTCCTCAGGCGTAGACGACAGAGGAAACGACGTGGCCTCACACTCCAAGACCGAGCTATCACCGTACAGACCCGAATTCGCTATTTTGTCGCTGTTTCACAAATTATCAAGCCCCTAGAAAGGACATCGTTGGACATTGATGACTTCCTTGTAGATTGGATTGACAGACAATACCAGTTGGGCGCTAGTATCACCAGTGTGGCTGACGCTTTGTCGGGCCTTCATCACTATTTGCCCTGGTCGCGGGGTAAAATTCGGTCAGCCTGGAAGCTTTATGGTTTGCGGCGAAAAATTGAACGGCCCAGACAGGCACCGCCCCTCCCTATGGAAGTGGTTGAGGGGCTGGCGGGGCGGTGTATTTGCCAAGAAAACCTCAGGCTGGCACTTTGTCTTTGCCTCGGTTTTTGGGGTCTCCTCCGCACGGGGGAGATCTTTAAGCTTCGCCTTCGGCATCTGTTGATACAAGGTCACACTATGATCGTCCGTCTAGGTGAAACCAAAACGGGGACCAGGCGACAAGTTGACGAAAACGTTGTGGTCCGACATGTCCCCACCATTCTCATTGCCCAAACTGTTTTGGATTTGGCGGGAAGTCGTAATGATTTTGTCTGGCCGCTTCCACAGCGTGATTTCCGACAACAGTTCAAGCATCTTTGCAGCTTCTTTAAGTTGAAAGGGTCCTTTAGACCCTACTCTCTCCGACGAGGAGGCGCAACGGAGGACTTCCGCCAGCATGGTCTCATGGAAAAATCCCTACTAAAGGGAAGGTGGGGTACATCCGCTGCTGCAAGGCAGTATATTCAGGAAGGACTCTCTATGCTAACTAAACTTACACTTTCCCCCCACACCCGCCGCTTAGTTCCTATTACAAACCCATCATGGCCCTTTCCAAGGTCCAGCACAGGGGTCGTGGAAAGCCTACTGGCTGATCAGTTGATCGTTGCCATTTTGACCTGC